AGACTGATCATCTCTGTTGCCAAGGCTGTGTTGGAGTGCTTGCTCACTGCACCCCTGCAGAAGCAGAGAGCTCATGACTCTCACAAGGCAGTGGTATTTTCTACTATTGTGAAAAGCTACATCATAGATAGATAAACATCTCCATATATTTGGCCCTGCCCTTTGTGTGCTATTACAGATTGCTATTACAATTAATATTGCACAGCCACCTCCTGAGTGCCTCCTCATGGCCACAGGTCATTCTGGAATGTCCTGCTCTGTTTCTCCCACTCTTCAAGGCCCTTTAAGAGTTCATAAGTCATTCAAACAAGCCCCACAAAGAATCACATTTCTTTAGTCCTCTTTTACAAACTGTCCCTCTAGACCCCCCCCCCAATTCAGTGTCTCTCTCTCCCGATTAATCCAAAAACACCACAAAGCACAAACTCACGCAGTCTTCATCTCAGCTGGCCTTTACAGTCTCTCCCAGGCCTCCCTGCCTGGAGAGCTTTCTCCTGCTACTTCTGTTTTTGCCTTGCTGAATCAGGTCCCTACAGGAGCCTTCTTGCTCCCTACAGCATCTACAGACATAGTTGCAGTATCCCAGGCTGCCCCCCTTTACTTCAACTTCCTGCTCTTCTTAGCCTGAGAGCACCTGTTTCAATCCAGGTGTGACTCATCCTGTAATCAGGGCTATTTTAGCTCCAGGCTCACCAGCCCATGTTGCACAGACCTACTCAATCCTTTCATGAGAACCATATCAGGCTGTCCGTTTACCATACAGCATGGAACGGGTGTACTGAGCGTTGAAAGTTAGTGCACAAATGAATACCAAATAATTGGAAGGTTATTTGGCTGAAGCCAAATAATGGATAGATCCATAAATGAAAGACACATGTATTACATTTGCCACTTCATTGATGCTACTAAAAATACCAACATATTTGGTACTAACAATTTATACAAATATAACACCAGAAAGTCTATGTAAGTTGAAACTATTATGCGGTCTTCCAATCTGTTTTAAACGCAACAAAGAAAACATTTTCTGCTAAAAGCCACTGACTAGGCTAGTTACTTTATCTTTGCAAAATACAGTCTCTGGGCCTCTGTACAACCCAGACTCATTGCCTGCCTTTGTTCTAATAAATATGCTACAGTAGAAATAGAGAGAGCCAACATGTACTTACGCATTGAATCAACTGCACCTCTGGGAGGCCGAGATCTTTTTGCAGAATGCATAACTGTGAAGTCATTGCACTAAAATGCTTCAAATTGTTCACAATTTTTCTTCCTAATAACAAGCATAATCAGACAACTCATTTGCTGGAAAACCCATCGTGTATGCATAGCAGCACTGAACGAAGGAAAACCAGTCAACAATGGAAAATTCTGCTTTCCAAAATGTCTTGCACGTATTAGCAGCGGTATCACGGACCATCGTTTGTACTTAAAATGGTATAATTATCTGTGTCTGCAGCACTTTGTAAGGCAGTCTTGTTTTGGAACCTACATGACTTCCTTCAAAAGATTCACTACCCAGAAAAACAATTCATTTTAGTTGCATGTTATCCAGTGTCCAGTAAGAACAGTATTTTCTGAAAGTTGACAGATCTGTGGTAAATTAATTTTTTTTCTGAAGACTTACTCATTATTTATTTTCTTGCAAGCTTTCAGATACCTTGGTGGCATCTTATATCTCCAATATGTTCAAATGCATGAACTTAATATTCCAAACAATAGAAAAAGGTTGTCAGGTCTAATCATTTCCCTGATTTCATGGTGAACAGCATGTGCAGATTGGCTATTGTGAGACCAAACCTGCATCCTTTCCCACACATTGGCATATGGTTTACTGACATTTGTAGATGTATAACGTTGAGTTAATTACATTTTCAGGCCAATATTCATAGCTTTTATGTTGTTTCCATTCAAGCTGGCATATTCAGTAGGGGTTTGAGCACAGTGATAATTGCTTAACACCAAAGTACCACTCTGTTTGCAGAACCACAGGACACCACAAGGGAACCCAATCTATAAACAGTCTTTTAGTTACCAAGGTTAACACAAAGCCTCCCATTATGGGCCTGTTTTCTCCTTCAAATGCATGGTTATTTTTCTAATTGTTTTCTGTTTTAAATTTTGCCTGAAACAGATCTAGCCAGGAGCACCTCACTGGATAAGTTTAAGCAAGCTAGATCAAGCAGCCCGTTGAGATTAATGGGGACAGGAAGGAAGTCATCTCCCCATAATCAGGTCAACAAAACAGCAGCCCTGCTTGATTGACAAGAACTCGAGTAGCAAGATGAATAACACATGTTCATTAAAAGTGCTGCAGAGCAATTTCTCAGCATGATAGGTGAGGAGGATACCATGGATATATATTTTAAAATCCTGTTACACACCTTACCCTCATTCCTCCCCCCGGGACAATTCTTGAGATAAGACAGGATTCTAGGGCTACAAAATCCTCAGCAGCCAGAGGGTTGTGTGTGAGCTGTAGTTAAGATAGGTTATTTTTATTATAATTTAATTATGAAGACTTCTAATGGTTCGGAGTTCAGAGAAGTATCCACAATTCTAGATACTGGTCCAGAAGTATGGAGGCCCATGAGCAAGGCCCTGTGATCATCCATTTCAAATAAGCTCCAACAAAAGGGGATCTCTACCTACATGTATCTTCTGGGGGGAGAGGAAGGCAGTGGTTTACTACCCACACCCATCATCTTTAACAGGAAAGAATGCTTATTCCCACCTTCAGCACTTGCAGGGGGCATTTCCACTTCCCTCCTTTGTGCAGAGTTGGACTTTTCCCCTCTTTCTTTTTCCCATTCATCACCAGATGGGGTCGGGGGGACCTCAAGATTTCTCCCTGCTGTCTGTTCTCTGTAGGTGGGAAGGGTTAGGCTTCTTCCACTGTATCCTACTCCACCCTCCCAGTGTGCTCCAATCCCCACTGTAAGCCTGGTCACCATGAAACAGTTGGCAGGCATTTCTCCTCTCCCCCCTAGTTACATGAAAGGTAGATGAACCATGCCACAGCAAGCAAGGGCTAGAGTAGTAAATACCTCCTCCCTCTGGGACAAACAGAACCACAATGCTAATGGCATTCAGAGCTGAGCCAAGAGCACCACCTCCTTTCCCCCCCTTTTTCTCCCCCAATATAACTCTACGGAGAACAAACCCAGCCTGATTTTGGGATGTGGTATGGGCTAGGACCAGCTTCTCCTTCCTTTCAACCATCTGAGAACAGGATGATGACAAAACTGCCATGCTGCTTCACCCAGGAAGCAGAGCATTGAATAGATACTTCAAATAATATTAAATTTCAGAGTGGTGTGAATCAGGCATTGGTTACAGTCTTGTGTAAACCTCAGGGAAAGGAGATTATCCTCTTGCAACATGGATTGTCTAGGGGACCTAGACATCACTTGAGGACTAGGGTACCATTCAGAGGACTTTGTAACCTTCTGGGTTAAATAACCACCAGTCATCTCACTGAGCAAGATATCAACTCCTTGGCTTTCTCTGCCAGCAGCGATTGAATTCTGGGGTGGTGGAGGGTCATCTCTTTCAACACTGCTCAGAGAAGAGACTCCAGATTCCCTTTCGAGACTCAGTGAAGCCCTGTGACATTCAAAATGTCTTTTTAAAGCAACAGAGGCATGTGATTCTTGGCTCTTCAACTTACAAAGATTAGGCCAGGGTGTGTGAAGGGAAAAGCACAGAGGTCTCCTCCCCCCACTTCGTTCTTCTTGGCTATTCCCTAACATTATGTAATGGGCAGGTGCTTGTCTGCAAAAAGCATCCACTGTTCTTAACAGGACATCGTTAGCCTCAGCCTCTCTGAAAAGGGAAAAAGGGGGGGGTTGTCATATCAGTCACCCTTGAAACATTTTGAGAAATGGACATAAATGCTCATACTGCACTCATGCCAAAGAAGCACTGATGGCCTCACTAACTAACAGCCCCACCAGGCCATCAACTGATGGGCCTTGAGGCTTAATTGCTTTGTTAGTGGGTCACAGGTCTACAGCTTAACTAATTTTTGGAGTGGAAGCAGGAAAGAAACAGAACACCTGTAAAAGAGATGGACATAAATTAAAAGAAGTGTTTCTTCCTACTATTTCTAACCTGTCATTATAAGATGTAGCAAAACAAACAAGGCAACGTTCCGCGTCAGGTCACATGCTTTACAGAGGCAATGGTTTTGTGTTTGCAGGGCTGTTGTCCCACCTTAAGTCCCAAAAAGTCTCTCTTTGCTGGTAGAAAGTGGAAGCATGTATAAAAGTAACGATCACGCTTTATATTAAGATTCCATTCAGAAATAGCTTATAAATGATTAACAGATGTCTTAAGAAATAGTTCATCAAATTGCTACAGATGATTGTTTTCATAATAAAAACAGTATTTTGGCTAACCTTTCACACATGGGGTGTGTCTTCTTAACACCGGATATAAATTAGGTGCAGACGCCTATATGCACTGAAAAGAAAATAAACCCCTATAACTTTTAATAGGCCTTATTATAAAAATGAATATCAAACAAAAAGTGTCCATTAGCAGAAATATAAAATAGTTTTAATATGAAAGAGAAGGGACACAACACTAATCCATTCTTACAACTAGTGGAAACAGCGGTTTATAATTAACATTTAGCCAGTTTATGCTCAACAACATACTTTCCTTAATGAAAATTACAATCCTATGCAAAATCCTTGGAGAATTATTTAAACACAGACTGTCTTATTTAAACCATTTTTATATTAAAATCACACAAGAGCCTCTAACAATGGTGCATAGAATTTACTTTAAAAAGGGGAAATTTAGGCACTCAAAGAGGTTGATTGTATATATGTACCTTTATCCTATCTTAAAATTGTATTCTAACAGTCACTCTCATCTTCTATAGCCAAGGATCAAAAACAACAGAAGGTTCTGGAAAACATGATTCTGTCATTCTGGTTTAGCAGACTCCAGGATAGTACAGCCAAGGAAAAACACCACACTAGAATCCCCCCCTCACCGCCCCATTTAAACAAGCATTTCTGTGGCTCATTAGCAAATACTCATGCTTCACTTAGAGGCTTTCGAAATTTGCTCTGAAGAAAAACCCTTGGAACACGCAGGCCTTCTTTCCTATTCACAGTTTCTCGTAGCACATACTCATTGACCACTTGCTCATATCCTACAGCCATAAAGAGATGAGACAAGAACTCTACAAGGGAGAAAGATGAAAGGTGGTGTTACTAAAAGTTAGTTTAGACTGTTTTTAAGCATCAGTGAGCATTTATACAAGCATTTGTTTTTAACTACTTAATTACATCCACTTTCATGAAAATCATGAAGGCTTCAAACTTGCAAGCTGCTCTGTGCAGACAGCCACCGACACTTGCACTGAGCTTCACTGAAGTCAATGAGGCTCTGCTTTCATGCAGAGCAGCTTGCAGGACTAGGGCTTTAAACTGGTAACACAATCCTGTTTCCCAAATGGTGTACATTTATCATTTTAAATTGAAAGTTTTCCATTTCCTCTTGTGAATGACTCTGAAATTATTTTCACATTGTGTAGTGGGGCACCACAAAGCCAATGCACCATTTTAAGTCCCGCTTCAACCCCACTTTGAAGATTTCAGTGGTGGACTGGCCTCAGGCTTGCTCTCTACGGAGGGGCAAATAGGCCAAGTTCCCATATTGTAGTTAAACAGAAAAAAAGCAAGGTGGCAAATTGGAAATGTTGATACTACGCCTCCACAGTTCAAACATACTTTCCATATACACATAGAAGAAAACTTTCTTTCCCTAGAGGAGAGAGTGAGGCCTCGCAGACAGGACATTGGACTGGAAGTCAGAAGACCTGGCTCTGCTGCTCACCTGCTGTGTGATCTTGAGCGAGTCATTTCCCCTCTGTTTACCCTCACACTTTTCTTTATCTGTTCTACCTAATTAGATTGGTAGCAAAAATTGTTACTCATTGTTTGTACAGTGCGAGAAATACAGGCTACTGAAATATAAATAATAGATTCTGCCACCATAGGACAACTTCACTCTAATGAAATCAGGCTCTGAGCAAGATCTACACACTCACTCCTCTACTAATTAAAAATAATTTGGGGGGAGTAAAAAAAATTAGTTCTCTGAGAAGGTGAGAGAGACTGATAGTCCTGTTTGAGCCAGGCATATATCCCTTTTTAAAAAGGAACAATCACTGTCTGTATTTGCTCCTCCTTTCACCTCTCTCTTTTCATCTGTTTTATTTCTCTCAGCTGAGAGATAAGGAGGAGAGCTAGCACCTCCTGACTGGCAAGCTCCTCCATGAACCGCCACCAAGTGGTCACAAAGCACATTTTGCTGCACTAGACAATATGTTTCCTCCTGGAAAAACAAACTTGTTAGATCACAATTAAACTCAACAGGCCATTTTAGAAAGAACGGACACTGGTGAATGATATTTTAGAGTTATTTGCTACTGTAGCACAATATACAGGTTGTTTTCATATCACCACAATAAAATGAGACAGCAGGTAATAGCATATTCTTCAAAATTCAAGAAAAAAACTCGACTAAGAATTTCCCATCCAAACACTCAACTGTGATATCTCATTCTCCAAATGCCTAACAAGGCATTGGATTCAAATTTCCATTTCTAGGTTGGCTCCGCCAGTCCCTTCCTCCAACAGCAGAGCTCAGTTTACTACAATTACCAGTATAAGTGGAACTAAACAAGCTATTTGATGAACAAAAATGACCCTAAGAATGCTTGGGTGAAGTTGCATAGCTGCTTGCATTATTTATCTTAAATTTAATCAATATCCTTTAAAGAATAGAAACATCTCAAAAATGATCAATGGAATTGGTTTTATTTTTAAATATGAGCAGCAACTAGGTAATTGACTATGTCATAAAATATCAAAATTATTTACTTGGCTCCAAATTGGTCTCCAAGAGACTTTCAATACTTGATTTTCCTTTAAAGAAGAAAAAAGACTTTTTTCTTTCACAAAGCCCCATAATTAATATAGGGAAGTATTTGTTCTCTAGTGTTCAGTGAGCAAAACTGGGAGTCAAGAGACCAGAGTTACAATCCCAGTTTTGTACAAGACTTTGGGCAAATTGTTTAATTTCTCTGTGCTTCAGTTTTCCTATCCATAAAGTTGGGACAATTATCTTCTTTTGTAAAGCATTTTGAGATCCCTCAATGAAAGACTATATACAGTAGAACCTCAGAGGTACGAACACCAGAATTACGAGCTGACCAGTCAACCACACACCTCATTTGGAGCCGGAAGTATACAATTAGGCAGCAGCAGAGACCAAAAAAAAGAAAAAAAGAAAATACAGTGCAGTAGTGTGTTGAACATAAATCACTAAAAAAAAGGGGGGGGGGGAGGGAGAAGCATATTTTTCTTCTGCTTAATAAAGTTTCAAAGCTGTATTAAGTCAATGTTCAGTTGTAAACTTTTGAATGAACCATAACATTCTGTTCAGAGTTATGAACGACCTCCACTCCCAAGGTGTTCGTAACTCTGAGGTGCTACTGTAAGTATTGTTAATGTCCTAAGATGATGATAATGAAATGCCTTAAAAAGTTATCTTTACTAAAATGTAGAGCTGGCTGAACTTGGAAATAATCTACCAGAAGAGACAGCAGTCACAACTAGTCAAATTATTAGCACAGTGTTACCTCAATGAAAGTTTTGTAGAAGCTTTCCTTCATTCCAGTCATACCTTTGTTTCAAAGCCCACTGACTTCAATGGGTTTTGAATCAGGCTTCATATATGTAAGAACATTGCAAAAAGATTATTATGGGATAATTTCACCCCTTAGTTGCTTAGTGACGTATGAGACTAAATCTTTCCCTAAGCATTTTTCTTTTTCTTTCAGAGTATTGATCTGAATGAAGCCACTGCAGCTAACAAGTTCTAAACCTATGCTGCCATGGCCTATCATGATGGTACATATAGGTAGTTCTGTCAACAGATCAAATTGCTCCTTCAGTCCTGCCACTTTTATAAAATAACCATGTACAGCTGGAAAACAAATTACACCGAGGTTTCATAGTTCATATATGTATCAAGCAACCCTTAAAGGCATAGCAACAATTCACTGAAGCAAGTTTAAACAAAAATCTTGCAGAGAAAAAAGTTTCTATTAAATCTTACCATCAGTAAAGAAATATGATCTTGTCCCATCTTGTCTAACATAAAAGTTTTCTCCAAGTTTGCTGCCAGATTTAAACCTAAGCATTGCATGATCATAGAGCCCGTAGTCTCTAAATAAGACACATTTGCCTGGTTTTAATACCTATCAGATAAAATACAGCTATATCAGTAAAATGGACATAACAAAATTATTTAAAGGAGAGAGAACTTGTAAATTTCTGCAGAAGTGAACAAATGGATTAAATGAGCTAACCCATCTTCACAAAGAAAACCGTAATTAGCCTCTGTCCCATTTGAGTTAAGAAATAAATCTCTATTTTAGAAAACAAACTCTGAAGTATATCAAAACTTAACCTTTATTACTCAGACTATAGCTGATGTGATATAGCAGATATCCTATAATATAAAAATCCAAATATGAACTGCAAATAAAAAAAATGTATGTTGCAAACAGAATGAGAAATCAAAGTTTGAACCTTTCTTCCCAATCAGTAGCCAATATTTTTGGACAACTGTTATCTCAAAATAGTTGTGCATTTTTCAGCTCTTCATATTAGGGCCTGCTCCTACAGGATGCTGAGTACCCTCAATCAGAGTTGAAAAATCGCAGCACTTCACAGGAGGAGATGCTAATGCTCCTCTACTTCTTGTTTGAAGCCTAAGACCCCAGTCCCACACAGACCTCTGTACATGTTTAACTCTGTATACTGTGTGTAGTCCCACTGATTTCAATGGGACTACTCACTGTGTGTAAAGTTATGCACATATGTTAGTGTTATCAGGATCAGGACCTTAATCATTATCAACATTAACACACTACCATAGAACCTTTAAATTCAGATAAAGGAAAAATAATGGTACTTAGTTCCCATCAAAATGCACTGTTGTGACAGTTTTTTTCTATTTTAGTGTGTTAAGATGCTTGGTATGATTATATTATATTATTATTTATTAGATAGGTATAGATAAAAATGGTAACCAAAAACCAGGAGAAAATAATCCTGGTGAACCTAGAGAAAGCAACATTCATTTCTGATCTGACTTTCAGCCAATTAATCAGCTGATTTCCTTTTTATAAAAACGAGCCATAATTGTATTTTCTTAATGGTATTCCTTAAAAAGGCAAAAAGTCATGCTGTAAAAATGGCATCATGTGGTTCCATGTGCTGCGTCTCAAGGACCATACAGCAAGTTTGCTTAGGTTACTTGCAAAAAAGATTTTTCTTCTAACAGCCAGTCCTACAGCAATTTAGATGTCATATTATCAACATGAAAATTTTTGTAATATGAATTTAGTTGTGTTGATGATGCACAAGCCAGAGGAGAATCCAAGTCACTCACTCAGAACTAACAGAAGAAAAATGTAGTCAAAACGTATTTTAGTCCCCATAGTAAGCAAAAGCGAATGTGACTGAATTCATCCAGGGAGTAAAGTACTAACCAAGGAGGTGCCATTTTCACATAGTTTCTTTTCAGAGTGGAATAGTATTCTTGAGTCAAAAAAGACTTTAAAAAAAACCCTAAAACTGTTGTGTCATACTTACACATTTACCTTATAAATATTTTGCAAGGCAAGGTGCATCTTGTCAGGGTGAATGGCAGAAAGCACAAATATTAATGTGGCAACATCCACAGAATCCGCTGGAATATTTTCCAGAAGGTCATCTTTGGTCAGATCACATTGGAATACTTTACATCTCTCAATATTATATAAAGTGTTCTTCTATGGAGTGAAAAGATGTTGCTTTAGTTGAAAGCATTCATTATAAAATTATAAAAGATAAATTTGTATTTTGTGATTATTTTTTTTAACTGGGAGAGCAACAAAAGGAAACACAACTACAAAAGAGCATTCACTCCAAGCTTTCTGTTTACACTAGGAAATTATGTTGGTATAACTTTGTCGCTCAGGGATGTGGAACATCCACACAGCTGAGTGATGGAGTTATACCAACCTAACCCCTGGTGTAGACAGTGCTATGTTGACAGGAAGGCTTCTCCCATCAACATATCCACCAATTCTCGGGGAGGTGGAGTACCTACGCTGATGGGAGAAGCTCTCCTGTTGCCATAGGTAGCATCTTCACTAAGCACTACAGTGGAGCAGTGCACCGGTGCAGCTGTGCTGTGTCATTATTCCTGGGGGAACTCTGCCAAAAAAATAAAAATTCTGCCCACATTTTAAAATTCTGCAAAATTCTGCATATTTTGTCAAAATAACACAATATAATTACGCCAGTGGCCCCGGGGCTGGAGGTAGGATCACTATAGCCAAAGGTTTGTTGAGGATTCTAGAGAGGGTGTACTGTATTGTATAAAAATGAATTGAGTATAAACATGCTATCTGTTTATAATAGGTCTTCAAATTTTCTTGAAAAGAGCCTCTAAGTTTTTGTTTTCAAGATCACTCTGGTTGTCCCTCCTCGCAAAAGATGTCACAGCTGAGTTTATGTCCCAAATCAAATTTTGGTTGTACTGTGTAGTTTACCAGGACATGGATATGTTGGAGGGGGGAAAATGACTTAATTGCTGAATCAGTCTATTATTCTCATTGGCCAAACTTAACATTTAGGAAATATCCAAGTACAACATTCACACTTACTACTACAGTAATATGATTTAATACTAGAAAATCAGGTCCTCAGTGATGATTCAATTCTCTCCTCTTCCATACAGGACAATTTACCATACTTATAGAAGAAAACAAAGCTAGATAATCTGGAATCTGATGAACACAAATTTCTAAAGAAGCACTAAAAATACACACAAATATCACACCAACCTTTACATACTCAACAGCTCTTGGAGAGAAATCACAGGCATAAGCAAAGATATTCAAGTCCTCTTCTAAAAGTGGAAACAAGCAATTTCCAACTCCACAGCCTGCTTCAAGAATGGTCAGTTTCTGATCTTCAAACTATGTGGGAGAAAGAGGCCAAGCATACAGCACATCACTTGTGTTGATCCTCATAGTACAAAGATACTGCTTTTCACATTTTAAAGTTAGGATCAGAGTTTCAGTTATCATCAGTTTAAAATCCCAAGTATCCTTCCACTGGCAATTTGACATTGTGAAGTGTAGGCTTTACTTTATATTACATTAAGTTTCTCTTTAGAAATTACTAAAATCTCATTAGCGATCTACTCATTTCAGCAACAATCAAATTATGCTATCCTCCTTGCCTGGGCCCTTTTATTAAACAGGGTGAACAACAAATACATTTGAATGTGTTTCTAAAATGTATATTTTAATGTATTGACTATCTAGATAGGTGACTTTATAACAGGGTGCTCAAAAGTTTTGCAACTTGTGTCTGCAAATTGGAAGAGAGAGAGGAACTTAGATCTAATTTAGAACACAGAGCAAATATTCTAGCAGTGGTCCCCAAACTGTGGGGCATGCCCCCATACGGGGTGCAGAGAAACATGCGGTAAGGCCCAGGCCAGCCCCCATGGGGATTGGGGAGGGAGCGCCACGCAGCCGCGCTCAGCCAGCTCCTCTCCGACCCGGCTCCAGCCCCGCTCCTGGCTCTGCCTGCAGCCATGGCCCCACTCTGGACCCAGCCACGCCCCTGGCCCAGGCTCCACTCCCATCCCTGGCCCAGCTCTGTTTGAGTCCCTCTCCAACCCCAGGCCAGCTCTGCCTCTAGCCCCTGTTCTGCGCCTAGGTTTGCCTTCAGCCCAAGCTCCTCTGCTGAGCCAATTGTGCAGTAAGGGGGGAGGGGTGGGGAGATGGACAAATTCCATTACTGGTAGGGGGGGAGCGTGACAGGAAAAGTTTGGGCACCACTGTTCTAGAGAGTGGGTCTGAATGTAAAATATACGTCAATTATAAACTATTATTCAAAGATTTCATAAGAGATTCCAACATTTGAAACTTTCAGATGGGTCCTCATGGAGCCTACTCATGGAGATATTGAGGAAAGAACAGGATGAAAAGTCCAATCAAAAAAAATTTCAGTTTTTTTTTTAATCTTAGAAGTCATGGAAGCTATCAACTACACAACACTGCACATTTGACGTATAACAGTGATCTGTCACTGACATCTTATTTGGTGGACTATTAAATCATTTGAAAATAATTAGCAATATTTGCCCCTTTACTTGTAGAACTAGTGTATATGGCTCACCTCCCGGCATGCTTTTAGATCTTCAAACTCTCTAGTTGTCCAATGCCTGTCTTTAAAGAAGTTTGTGCTGTTTCTTTTGTAAAATAGATCCCAGTTCTTCTGTGCATCTTTCTCCAGTTTCAGTTTTTTGAAGTCAGACACCAAAGCTTGATCTCTTGCCAGTTTCTCAGCTTCTTCAGGGCTAAGGATCCTTGCACTGTGCCCTTTCTTTTGGAAAGCACCATCTTCACAAATTGGGGCTACTGAATTCAAGTAATTATCAGATGTGTTTTCTTGGAACATCCTGGATTCATCCATATGAATACAGACAAAGCAGATTTAAAGTGTTTTTTTCCTCAGGTGTATATTTCCATCTTTGATTTCAGACAAAACAATCAAGGCCCTAGAAACATAAGAAATAATGAGAAAGGGGTTATAGTTTGCACTTCTTAGGGACTTTTTGTAACTCACTGTAAGTGCCAGGCTGAGAAAGCACCAAACCTACTTTTCTGAAACCTCCATGAAAGTCCTCCAGCAAAACCAGGCAAGATCAGACTTGACTTTCCTAAGATTTCTAAGATTAAAAACAAAAATAATCAACAAGACACACTTCTGTTCCTCTTATAGATCATACAGAAGCCACAAAAACTGACTACCACCTTGTCCCCACACTATGGGCCTGATTCTGCAACCTGATCCACTGCACCTATTCATGTCCCCAATGATTCCAGTGGGATTCCATGCTGGTGTAAGCACATATTGGACTGGAGCCTTTGTGTTATTTTACAAAAAAATAAAAGTGAGCTACTGACCTCTGAAATTCAAAAACGTAAAACAAAGGGTGAAGACAGCATCCCCATTTTTAGGTAAAAACCAACAATACCTCACCAAAGCAAAAATGTTATATTTTATTTATTTAGTGATGTCATGACATTATACATTCACAAACACAAAGTTTAAAGATGTATACAGAATCAAGTTAAAACAAGGTCAAAATTATTTGGTCAGTTATACAGGATGTCAGACTATTTGATCCCTTCTGGTCTTAAAAAATCTATGACAAAGTTATAGTAACAAGACTCCCAAACCCTGCAAAAACAAAAACCTCACAACTCAGCCTACAGATTCAAAAAAAGTCTGAGTAAACTAATAGGCTTTACAATGTGCTCTGTCAGACAATAAAGAGAAGCAGATACATTTTTTAACAAGACAGACCAAAAACACTCCACATTGATCATTTTCATTGGCCATGTTTACACAAGGAAAATATTAACTAACGGTGTTATACATGATTTTGCACTTAGTCTGAACATGGACAATCTCATTTAAAGACATGTTAGCTGGTCTTAAAGATATTTTGTTTTTAAACTCAACTTGTCCCCATCTCTGCTAGGTTAGGTACTAAGTTAAGTTTATCATCACATTAGTTAACACGTTTACAAACATGATGCCTTTTCTCAGTGTAGACGTGACCAGTGTTAAAGAGAACTCATGGGCCACACAGCTCTTCAGTGCTCACTGGGAGCTTGATCCTGCACGCACAGGGCTGTGCTGTGTCAGAGACCCCCAGCCTGTCCGTCCCCCCCCCGCACTCCCAGACTGCGCCTCCCTGTGTCAGACAGTCCCATCCTGCCCTCCCCTCCCACACACCCCTCTGTTCCCCATGTCAGACACCCCGTCCTGCTCTCTAACACCTCCTCCCCTCCCCCACAGACACCCCCGTCCTGCCCCTGAGACATCCCCAGTCTGCTCCCCATGTCAGACACCCCCAGTCTACCCTCCCCCACAGACACCCCTTCCCTGCCCCCACCCCCAGACACCCCCCATCCCGCGCCCTCCCCGGGGCCTACCCGCGCGGGGCGCGCCCCGCAGCCGGACGGCTTTCTCGGTGACACGCTGCCCCGGAAGGGAGCGGGGCGGGGGATCCGCCGCTGCCGGGTGCTGCAGTGTCCGGGTCCGGCGCGGGCAGGGGCATGAACGGCTCGGCGAACCCGCTGCTGGACAAGGAGGAGCACGGGCTGCAGCTGGGGGAGAGCTTCGAGCGGCGGCCCAAGGCCTCCTTCCACACCATCCGCTGTGAGCCCCCCGCTCTCCCTGGGACCCACCGCCCTGCCCGGGATCCTGCACCTCCTGGGGACCCCCCGGCCTAGCCCGTTACTCCTCTACCGAAGGACACCCCCCGGCCCACAGCCCCTGCACTCCCCCCCCCGAGCCCGGGGACCCCCCTGTGCTGCACCCCCTTCAGCGGAGAGAGGAGGCGTCCAACCCTGTTCACTTTTCCAGGGACCCTCGTTACACTCCGTGCGCTGGGATCCCCCACTCCCTTCCCCCTGTATCGTCCTCCTCTCACCTGCCCGGCTCCCACCCAGCTACCCTTCCTGCCTCTGAGCCCTAGCCCCTAACTCTCCAATTGCCCCTACCACCCCAACCCCTCTCTGCCCATTCCTCACCAGCTCCTCCTTCCTAGGCTCTTATTATGTGGAGAGCAGTAACTTTCAATTGCAAATTTAGATGGGGGGAGGGAAATTAAAGTGAGGCTAGTTTGAAAGTAACTGTAAAAATTACGGGTGGGCGGGGAAGGGGGAAGTGAGTCTCTTACTGAGCGTCATATCAGATGACATAATTTAAACTTTATATTGTGAAAGATGCAGGGCTCTGGCCGAAAGTCTGAATAAGGGAGATCGCGCACACAGTTTCTTAAGATTTATTGAAATGTCCATCAAAATCCTTCAGTACACTGTAAAGAGTATGACATGACCTCCCCCATTCCCTCCAAGAGGGAGTCTCTGGCTCCAAATGAGTGATACTTGGCAACTCTGGAAGATGAGTTTTCTGACAGCCCTTCAAGCTTCCCTGCAGGGGGAAAAATGCCACTTTTGCTCCTTTTGCCTCTTATACAGTGGTAGCTAAAGGCCCCAGCCTTCCATGTGGGCAGGAAGGTCCACCTGAAAAGAAATAATATCTGCTGCAGGTTTGAGACAGAATGTTAGGAACCCTTAGGAAAGGGATAGATATAGAAAATATAAGGTCTCTATATACACCCATGGTACGCCCGCATCTTGAATACTGCATGCATATCTGTTCTCCCCATCTCAAAAAAGATATATGAGAATTGGAAAAGTTACAGAGAAGGGCATTAAAAATTATTAGGGGTTGGAACAGCTTCTGTATGAGGAGAGATTAAAAAGACTGGGACTTTTCAGCTTGGAAAAGAGATGTCTTAGAGGGAATATGATAAAATCTTGACTCGTGGAGAAAGTGAATAAGGAAATGTTATTTGTTCCTTTACATAACACAAGAACTAGAGGTCAGCCAATAAAATTAATAGGCAACAGGTTTAAAACAAACAAAAGGAAATACTTCTTCACACAATGCACAGTCAACCTGTGTAACTCATTGACAGAGGATGTTGTGAAGGCCAAAACTATAACAGGGTTAATAAAAGAACTAGATAATTTCATGGAGGATAGGTCCATCAATGGCCATTAGCCAGGATGGTCTGGGATATAATCCCATGCTCTGAGTGTCACTAGCCTTTGTTTGCCAGGAGCTGGGAGTGGATGACGGGATAGATCACTTCATGATTGCCTGTTCTGTTCATTCCTTCTGAAGCACCTGGCATTGGCCACTGTCAGAAGACAGGATATTGTGCTAGATGGACCATTGGTCTGACCAGTATGGCTGCTCTTATGAGGCCAAAGATTAAACTGGTGATTTGGTTATATGTGAGGCAGTATATAACCCAGCTAGCTCTTCATGGCTATATTGACTCTGCAGTTCTATAATAAGTCACTTTTCAGTAAAATGTGCTTGAGTCATATCAGTTTGCAAGTGTTGGCTAATAAGTGGGTGCCAATCACCCTTCTGACCAGAACAGTTCTTAAGTAAGGTCTAGACCTTACTTGGCTCTTCTAAAGAGCATTAAAAAAAAAATTCCCTCAAGATAGCAAGAATCTTCTAACTAGTATTTTCTAATACTATTTGCATTTGGTAATATATTAGGAGGTTGTTTTAATAGTGACCTCACTGTGCCTTTATCCTTGAACTTCATTCACAAGATACTGTTTTCTCTGCCCTCTCAGTATGAGTATCTTTAAAATTAATAGTTAAACATCACCTAAAGACTAAAACAATACCTAATATTATAACAGCATAATAATGTGAGAATTTATATAGTAGATGGGTTTGTATTAATGCAGCATATAGGGCTTTTCCATGTAATCTCAGGTCCAATCCTATAGCCCCCTTATTCATGTGATAAGGGTAACTGACTTCTTTAGGACCACTCACCTGAGTAAGGATTGCAGGAACAGCTCTCTGGTTTGAAAGATTCCATACTTCTCACTTAGAGCAATGTATGGCAATATTTGAGTCACAGCTATTTTCCCGAATACTCAAACTTGCATGTAAATCACGTTAAGAGACAATATCTGGAAGGACAAAGACAGTGGATCACATCTTCAGGGGAAATTACAGCGTAAAGTATTTAGAATGCAGTTGTACTCTGAAATGTCAGTCAATGATTGTACCTCTATGAGCTTCAGATCAGATGTATTTACTTTCCAGGCTAGAATTTTTTTTATAAATGCTGGGCCTGAAAATTTAACCTGGGATCAATTATACTGTTGGGTTTTTTTAGTATCCTGGACAATCCATGGAAAATGCTTCTAGGAAAACTTGACTTTGGTAAATAAAATCATGGACTATTTTTCAGGGTCATAAAATTAGTATAACCATTACAAAACTAACCAAGGGTATACACAAACCAGTAAACTTCCCAAGAGAAATCCAATTGTTGGCCAAATGTTTGCATGGCGTATCTTCATCTACCACTGACCCTAGGAAAGAAGCCTAGTATTGAAATCCTTTGTCAGTCACCCCAGCTCGTACCATTCCTATATGTATATGTAAGAGGGAGGTATGCCAGACTTGTAAATGAGGAGGCTCTGGTAAAGTGTCAGGCTCAGAACAAACAAACAAAATTATGTATGATACATGCACACATAGCATTTAATAAGAAATGAGGGTGGGCTAAGAGGCCTGCTCCCTTTTGGCTGCTAAACTAGATTAGGAAACCTTCTGCAGCTGCCCCTTGCTTGACCCAGCAAGTCCACACTGATACATTTGGGGAAACAATAACTAGTAATTGTTAACTCACAAAGTTACTCAGATGTAAGTGAGGGCACAACTTGGCCCTGCAATTAGAACTATTAATTCTTTTGGTAATGCATGAGATGGGGTTAAATCTAGTCGTACACTCACTTTCTCTGTCTGCTGTGTTGTCTCTGTAGTACTAGCAGAGTAAAAATCAGTTACATTTATTTTTATCATTAAACCCAGCAGGTATTACTCTTAGTGACGATGTTAAGAAGGTGCTATTTTTTGCAAACTTACTTTTCATAGTAGAACTTCATTTTAAATTTGCTCTAAGAAGTGGATGTTTTAACAACTAATACAATAATTAAGAGACGTCTTGGCAGTGAATATAACTGGACAGTTTTGTATGCTGCTTCTTAGCGTATGCGCAATGTGCCTCAGGTGGCATGTGACCAGGATTCATCACCGAATTTGTTTTACTAGTTGGATCATTAGCTTTCCCAGACTGGGTACTGCCGGGGAGTGCGATGTGAAGGTTGATCCATGCCCCCCTTTTTGTATGCTTAGACACTGGAATTGAGTGCCCACTTATGAAAATGTCATTATCCGCCATATTCATATCTGGTTCATGTTCTGATTTTACTTTTGCAGTTTTGTCTAAATCATGTCTGAACTTCATACATTCTGATCATCTGTTTTTGTCTCCTTTATGGCTCAGTAGTACGGTAGGATAATTAATAGAAAATATGTAAATGTATTAAGAAAAGTTACTGGAGATATTACTTTACACAGAGGTGCAAAGTACATTTTATTCAATCAAAGTAACCCCCTATAAACCAGGACTATCTTAGGGCTTTAAATTGCCTTAGGCATATTCTGATTGTCATGCTCCCACCCTCCGTCTGGGATGGCTTTGTCAGGGACCCCCTCTCCCATACAGATAGGGGCAATAGCATGCAGGCCTTCTCTCTGCTCCCCTCTCCCACCTGGAGAAGTAGAGGTAGAAGCAAGGGTGTATCTGCATGGGTAGGTGAGCTGGGCTCACTGTATTCTTCTGCTTCTGTCAGACAGAGAGTTCTGAGGTCATGATGGCAGGTCTCCTCACAAACCGCCCAGTCTTACAGTTAACAATCTGTTGAGATACGTGGAGCAGTTCACCACTTAGAGTCATAGAGTTTAAGGCCAGAAGGGATCACCAAGTCATCTAGTCTGACTCCTGTATAACACAGGCCACCAACACCCACTGACTAAACCCAAAAACTGAAATTAGACTAAAATAGTACAGCCCACAGGAGACTAGACTGTTATGTGCCACAGGCAGAGAAGAGGAGGGACTGAGATGTACCAGTGCCCAAGGCCCCCGCAAAGACAGGGAACTGAGTTTGTGAGAATAAACCCTGATAATCCTGGCAAGTGACCCGCTCTCACATGCTGTGTTGGCTGCTTGTTTCAGACTGTCTTCAGACTCAAATGTCACTGCATTGGTTATACCTGGGTTACATGTTGAAGCTTTTCCTTGACCAGAATAGCTAGAAACTTACTTTTTTTTTTAAATTGAAAGATTAAAATCTGAGGTAATCACATGATTTAAGGAGCGGGTATCCACAGAATTAGATCTGTTGTGCCTATGCATTAGTCCAGCTCTTCTTTAAATAGTAGCATTGGCCCACGTTTTACATTCCTTCTAATCAGAAATAAAGCAGGAGATGAGTTATCTCAGAAGAGAAACCATGGAGACTCTAGAAACAATTTAGTTGTGAAATGTATTTAATACCACTTATTTTCATCTTCAGATGATTTTAAGCCAGCCTCTATAGACACATCTTGTGAGGGGGAGCTCCAGGTTGGTAAAGGAGATGAAGTAACAATTACACTGCCACATATTCCAGTAAGTTTACTTTGTGTTATGATGCAAATTTACCTTTTGACTTCGTAGCAAATTCTCATTGTGTGGTTTTAGTATCTGCTAGCCAGGAACATTCTAGTGTAAATGGACTTAAATCTATCCTCTTCACCTTTGATCACAATGCTAAAACAAATGAGTCCACTGTTTGAGCAGCTTTTGCACTGTCTTTCTACTAGCATTTCAGTATATCATTCTGGGAGAGGGCTGTAAAATGGAATCTCTATAAAGTGTTATTTCTGTAAACGTCCAATCTACTTTGCTTACAATTAATCCTTCTTAGTACTCTTTGAAGTACAAGAAGACTTTTAATCCTGAGTGGGGCCCTACCTAACTTCCATCAGTTTTTAGTTCTGCATTTTAAGTATGGGAGTCTGATTATCCTTGACTCAGGTCAAGATCCAATTTTCAGAAGACTGAAGTTATGCCTTTGAAACAGCTCTTTCTGTTGCTGAAAGCTATACAAACAACATCCTGCACCCCATGTTTGCAGAAGCTTCCCCAGGATTCCTAGTCAGTTGCAATGAGGTTAAATCCAATCCCTCCACAAATTATATAGTAAAGATTTATTGTGCAAGGATGATGGACAAGTGACAGTAAAGAATATGGTTAAATGATTGTACATATTTCTGTTTTGATAATAAAGAGTTGAAACAAAACAAAAACTGCACCTGTGATCTGATACTGGATTTGTATATTAGCTGGAGAGCTAATGCTAATTACCAATCCAGCGTACGTGAATTTATAAACAACATAGATAGGCTTAGTATAGATAGGCAACAGTTTTCTGCCAGGTTGGAATCCAAATGGCAGATTCTCAGCTGAAAAAATTATGGATGAAGCTGATAATTTACACTGGAGAGGATCTGCTCCCAAGAAAGTTTTCTAAATAACGTTACCTTCTTCACTCTTATATGAAATGTTGCCTCAACTTAATCTATATAGTATACTAATCTTGTTGAAGTAATTCTGAGAGCAGATAGCAGCATAATTAATGCCAGTAGTGCTGACTTTTGAATCAGAATATTCCCTTTTGACTGGGAAGTGTATTGTTCCTATATTTTTGAAGTGGGTGAATAAGATTGTTTGTAGTGCATCCCCTTTCCAGATGCCTGTTCTGATAAGATTATTTTTAATGTACTATTTTATGAGAATGGACAGCTTTCAGCTTGACCTGTCTCTTCTATATTCTAGAGGGTTTTCCAGTTAACCAAACTGAACACTGTCAATATTGATTTGGAGCAACATATGCATAGTGGCTGCTTTCAATCTAGTTAAATGGACAATTCTCTGAAAAGGGATGGGATATATGATCTCAAAGCTTCCCTTTCTTGAAATGTTGATAAAACAATATAAGAGGGTTCACTGATCTTCTAGATCCTGCTTTATTTCTCATATTCCAACAAACAATTGCACTAGCTGCCTAATAATTGGATGGGATTCAGGTTCCAATTTGTCATTTGAAATTTTGCTATCCCTGACAGTACCACTGTTTGAAGGAGATTTTTTTGTGTCTCTTTCAGTGTGTGGACAGTTTCAGGGATTACGGGTGCTTTGTGGATGTAGTGGTTTAATATTTGATGGTCAAATAATTGTTGAGGAATTCTTTTTGTCTCTTGTTTTAGTTATGGGTTTCATCACAATCCTGTTAAACTTTAGCTCTTTCGCTCAGTGGGTTTTTTCTGGCCTTTGTAACAGAATAGTCTGTAACATAGCATTTTGGTTTCTGTTGCTTAGTATTTAGGCATTCCAAACTCTTACATACCTGCTTAATTTTAAGCATGTGAGAGGGACTGTTGATGTGCTTTATTGGATCTTCAGTTTCTTCTCTTTATTTCTCAGCAAAGATTATGCTCTTCTTTAAATTCCTTGCTTTCTACAGAATAGGGGATGGTTGGATATAAGTTTAGCACAATTTCCATTATATTTGTGCTTTATATGTTTGTCTAACTTCTCTTTATCTGTCAAGGATGACCAGGACTTAACTTTCAGCTTATTTTGTATTCTCTTCAATCCTTTTTTACTTTTCAATTTCTTAATGTAGTAATTTTGTAAATATCTGTGAAGGCATGACTATATGAGAATATGATCTTATCCAAATTGGAACTTGTCTTACTGTAACATCTCTGAAGAATCCAGATGTAGGCAGTCTGTATTGTTCCATAACCATTTTAGATTAATATGTGTACCCTATTTTTGATGGTGCGGAGAGTTTAAAATTTTAGTTTAAGCGTGAAGACATTATATTTTCTTTAGAAGAGGGGTGGGGGTGGAAGCTTGTACTTGTGCTTTTGCACACTGTCCTCAATTCAGGGTGCTTCCCAAGAACATGTGTAAAGATTGCTTTCTGTTCTCTGAATCAGGACTCTCTTCTTCAGTTGTAAGTAAGTACCATTCACCTTTCTCTGTAACTATACAGCTATTGTATGTATAAAATCTGAGTAGGTTTCACAGTAGAGAGTATACTTTTGTACACCCCTTACACTAAGCGCATCAATTTTTTGATTCACCCAATGTTAATTAGTATCATAGAGAACCCCCCAGATTGCTCCAGAATGTAGGTCTTCACGCAATAGGTTTGCCAAACAAACAAGCTGTATTTTTTTTTAAATCAGTTGTTGCTAATGTATAGCATGTGATATTTGCTTCATAACATAGAACAGAGGTGTTGTTTTTTATTTGCTGGATTAAATATAAAGGCAGTTTAAATGATGTATTGGGTACACGTACATTTCATCAGGTCACAGGTCCACTGAATGCGTAATTAGATTTATATTCAGTATCCAAACCCAGGATTTTCAAAGCTGGTAGAAGTATCAGGGAGGTTTCTGATATTTATCAGGTCAAACTAATAAAATGTAGTTGTTACCATGATGGAAAGTGGAACTGTAAATGATAGTAACCGAAGGGTAGATGTGTTTATCACTGCAAAGCCACATAAAATGATTAAAAGCATAATAATGAGTGAGGAAAAGTCTGACGTAATGCATATAAATGTATTCATCCCTTCTTGAAATGAACAAACACTTTCAATCTAAAGTAAATGATAATGTCTTGATATTAGGTCAGAAGCATGCATATATTCATTAGACTTATTGTGTATAAATGGCTTGTATAGTGTGGGTATAAGCAAATGAATGTGTGCTTTTTCTTTGACACCAGGGCTCAACTCCTCCAATGACTGTGTTCAAAGGAAATAAAAGACCATATCAGAAGGATTGTGTACTTATTATCAATCATGACACTGGGGAATATGTGCTGGAAAAACTTAGTAGTAGCATTCAAGTCAAGAAAACAAGGTAAAACTGGGGCACATACAGTTAATAAGATGAATTCTTGCTAGAGATTCATGTTAATAGGGTCACCTTTATCTATGGCTATGAGTTTTGTGAATTAGCAGTATTGTTTATTTACTGAGTTTCCTGGACTTTATGAGGACAATTATCCTGCCTAAATATGGAAATCTCCATTGTGTCTATGTAGCAGAGAGTAAAGAATTAGTAGATTCTCCGTTATTGAAAGGTGATAATTGTAACTCATGACTGAACAGTATTGATGGTATAAAAGTTTAGAAGCTGGTCAAAAGATTAGATGGCTTTCAATAATTTCTTTCTGAAGAAGATGGAAGTGGTAACCTGTCAAGTGGACGGTGAAGTTGCAAGTAATGGACCTAGAAACTTCCTGCGGAAGTCTAATTATATATAACAATTAGAGTGGGGGAACATGGCTGCATCAAGTTGATAAACAGAGCAAAAATCCAAACCCTTCATGGGCAAAGATTCTGAAAAAATGAATGCTGGAGAAATAAATAGCATTGTGGGTAATTGCCTAAAAACTGCTGAGATCAGAACTTCTGTCTGATCTGATAGCCATACCTCAGTACACAAATGACACTCTAGAAAGTGTTCAGATAAAATATCTTTCAGAGTAGTGCTAATATGTAAGTACCTGAAGTCTCTGAATCAAGTTCTTTTAGCAGTGGGGAATGCATATTAGTTGAGTTCTATGGAGCATGCCATTATTAAATATTTTTTAAAAACATGACACATTTAAAATAACCTGTATTACTGCAGCCGTAAAAACTTTGACTGAGAGCTCACAAAAACTTTACAGTGATGCAGGCTGGGACCAGGCTGGCAGCTAGATCAGAGATCTCCAAGAAACAAATCCAGGCTGTTGTACGTGCGGGTAGTGATTCAATAGTTGCCACACTTTCCTCTGAGTCAATGCCCTACAAGTGCATGAGCATGATGTTCCAAGGCACTGTGCTATTAGAGGTCATGTCATTCAGATGAGATGTAAAGCTGTTGTCATGATCACTTTGGTCTTTAAAGATCCCTTGGCACTCTTCACAAGAGAAGGGGTTTTAGTCTAAAATTCAAAGTGGAGTAATTACATTCTTCCCACGTAAATTCCTTCTGTAGTTTCAGGAGCATAAATCAATATTAGTAACAATTCTCTGCTCTTAGTAACTTTCATCTGATGAGGTACTGTATGTAATCAAAGAGGATACTTCCTGTTGTAAAATGCTGGGAGGCTTGCTGTGCATCTTCTGATAGTTAGCTGCATTTCAGTGATGGATGAAGTGATCCCTCTGTATTTCATGTCTAAATGTTTGTGAAGAGCTTTGGGATCATTCAGGATGAAAGGTGCTATGTAAATGTATTTTACTGTAGTTGCTGATTGTATTAAGAAGATGTTCTTTGCTAAATGAAAAACCTTTACTGCTATTTGAATAGAGAACAAGATATTGCTAAACCTCACATGGTTCTGGAGCACAGTTAGTAAGGACCTCACTCTACAGTCACTTTACAGCATGCTTCCCATGGAAGTCAGTGGTGATGCTGAGTGCCAAAGCAGTGTAGGTTTTGAGCAGTATTATATTAAAAATCCATAATTCACTGTATAGCTTTACAGGATGCAAAGTAAATTTGTATTCAGTCTAAACTCATTAAATATATATGAATACAGATCTTACTGGAACAAATGAACACAGCTCTATGGCACCACTGACTGTTTTTTTGTGTTGTTTCAGGGCTGAGGGCAGCAGTAAGATCCAGGCACGAATAGAACAGCAGGCTGCCCGAGCCTCCCAGCCTTCCTCACAGTTCAAAGCCCCATCCAAGCCAGCAGCTGGGCCCAAAACCTCCCCTTTGAAAGACAACCCTTCACCTGAACCTCAGCTGGATGACATTAAGAGAGGTAAAGAAGGGTTTGTTTTTTTAAATCTGTTTTATAATTGTTCATTTACAAAGATACATAAGAACTTCAAAGCATTAAAGGCTGGTACATGACTGCTGATTTATAGTCTATGTATCTCATTTTAAGGATTCTTAGTGAATTATTTATTTTCTTCTGTCAACGTAGTCATCCAAACTGTCCCCATCTCTCTGCATGTGAGCATCCCTTTTTTGCTGATAATTTAATCTCTTTCAGACTCTTTCTCCATAAAAATAACATTAACTCAAAAGATGCACATCATCACAGTTGGCTGGAACAGGAATTGGCTGGCTATCTCATCCAGCAGAAAGGCTTCAGGTGTGAGATCCATCAAATAATTGGATAGGGATCAAATTTGCACAATATGGACCACACTGCTATGTAGTTGCTATATTTATTATGCAGGTATCTTGGGAGGGAAAGAAGGATTGAGTGCCTAAATTAAATAAATCTCCTACTTAAGCAGCAGCATCAGGCTCCTAATCTCAGTGTTTCTGTATCTGTGCCCAAAAGTTAGGCCTATTGGGGCTTGATGCACAGAATCTCTGCCCAAATCCCTTCCACCTGGGTTGTGCACTCCATGGGTATATTGTGGACAATGCAGTTGAAGCGAGGAACTTTCTTTTTTGTTTAATTTATATTTTACTGAAAAGCCAGGTACTTTCTAGGCATATGTTGTATATTAAGACCATATTGTTCCTTTCTCCACTTCTGGTGTTTCCTTTGCATTGTCTTTTCCCTCTGGTCCATACAGCTAGTTTTCTTATGGGCTCAGCCTACGTTAATTATCCTATATTATTCAGCAAGATTTTCTTCAACTTATACTAGTCACTTTATGACATTTTTACTTTTAAAAAATCTGAATGTTGGTTGTAGGAGCAGATTATATTCACTCCTGCGCAGTTTCTAATGCACTGAACACCAGGATGTTGATTGAAAGACCATGTTGAAGTCTGAGGGTTTGTTAGTTGCAATTCCTGTCCTTTCTCACTGTATTTATATCTAATTTTTTATTTTGAAAATTCTTCAAATACAAAAAACCAACCAAACAAGCAGACTACAGGGAAATACATGAAGTTAGTAATCGAATTATCTGGTATGGTTCTTATTATACAGTTTAGAAAACAAATATTAGTTGAACCAGGTATGTACTACAGAGTTCTGTTGGCATAGCTGTGAGGAGGTGTGACCCTTGACTGACATAGCTGTGCTGGTAGAAGCCCCTACTGTAGACAGTTACACCAGCCAAATGGCACTTTTACCAGTATAGCTTGTTTTCACTCCGTGAGGGTGCAGGGTGTGGGTGTGTCAAAGATTTAATTATTCTGGTACAAACTGCAGCTTTCCAGTATAGCTGCATCCACACTAGGAGTGCTTTGCCAGTATAGTCTTATACCAGTAAAGTGCTCCTAGTGTAAACATAGCCTTAAATAATCATCGGACACCTTTTCAAAAAGGTATACAGCAGTGACTAAAGGTCATATTGTTGCAGTAAAAATTACATATTTGTCTGGTCTGACGGTTACTCCAGAGAGAGTCTTCATATTCTAAAATCAGAAGACCTGTTGTACAAAAGTGTGAATGTCCTGGCTGTCTGATAACTTCTCCAGCATCTGAATGTCCCATATTGTAGAGAACTTCAAAGTACCATCTGGGAGATCAGTTGTATTTCACAGAGAGTATCTACCCTTCACATAAAGTTCTAATAGAGAGTATGGATCCATCAACAGTTTAGTTCTTGCCCACAGAATAATTGTGCTTCTATAGCTTTTCTAAACATTCCTCAGTCTTTTCTTTACATAAGCTTCTAACAATGGAGAACTAGAGTACCAACACTTTGACACGTCTTATAATTCTGAGAACCTGTGAAGGGAAAGCACAATTAAAAGCCATTTGGACACAACGAAGATGAACAATACAAGTCAACTAGATCCAGGAAACAGTCTTCAGTCCTTGGGACTCCTGTATTTCTTCTTTACTCCTAAAGAGTTTTAAAGTTAAAGGATTTTTTTTCTCTTATTGTTTCATGCCATCTCCTTCTTGGTCATTGAAATACATACTTTGTACAGAAGAAAAGTAAAGCATACTGGGTGAGGTTCTCTGCTGTGCCTCTAACAGGTGCAGCACAGAACTCTCAAGTCGTAGGGGGCTGGATCTAAAGTGGCTTTGCACCCTCCTGATCCTAAGATGCTCCAGGGGCTGGGATGCCTCTGGTGTTACTAACACAGCTCTGGGATCCTCTCTAAGTTCCAGCAACCACCCCAGGCTGCCCCGTGGGCTGCTGTGCTGCCCAGAATTTTCACAGCATACTGTGGCCCCACACTTGACATGCCTGTCCCTCTGTGGCATATGTGAGGGTCTTTGTGAGGCATCTTTAGAGCTGACTTTGCAGAGCTAGCAGTAGGGGAATCCTTTACCTATTAGTTATGGGGAGGTTTGGCCCTCTTTATGCCCCTGCAGCCCTTTTGCACAGCATCAAGGGGCCAGAGTGCAGGTGAGGATTTCATGCATTATGAATACTTATCTGCACCTTATCACATGTCACTGTGCAATGAGAATGAATGATCATATTGTGGTATGTGCAGGAAAAAATTGTTGACATATTTATATAGCATACTTAATCACAACAGATGCATTTTTAATAATGTTGACATAATGTAGGTATACAGTATCTGGAAAAAGTACAAGTTTTCCAGTGTTGCTGGAAAACTATGAATTTAGTGCTTAAAACGTGCTCTAAAGTACAGTTGTACTTTGAAAAATAACTTTAAAGATGACATAATATAATTGCATATTTGTTGTCTCTTGTGGACTTGTAAATCAAATTTGCGGAATTTCAATGTAAAACATTTATTTTTTTTCAATCCGCTTTCTCTGTAAATTCAGCCTGTCAAAATCAAGTTGTTTACTTCTGTCTAATGTGCTATGGGACTTATGGCCTCATAATGCCAAATGCTGAGCACCTACAACTCCCATTGGCTTTAGTTGGAGTTCTAGATGCTCAGTGCTTCTCAGGGCCAGGGACTTCTAGATAAGAATTTTGTTGAAGGTGCATGAAACAGAATAAAATCCAATGCATCTACTGACAGCAGAGAAAAGGAGCAAAAAAGCCCTGTTCTTAGTTACTGAAGTAACTAAGTAGATTTGATTTATTAGTAGTATTTATTATTGTAGCACCTAGGAGCCCTGGTTATGGGCCAGGACCCCGTTATGCTAGTCACTGATTTGTTGACAAAGGAGCCAGTGATTTCCTGAGTATAATTTTATTTTAATGCAGAAAAAGCTAAGAACGTTTTTGTTTCACTTATTCTTTTAAGTAAATTGCTACGGTTGAGAAATCAAATGCACAATACTCAAAAGTTATGGTTCCCTCAACAATATCAACTTTGCCAGATGTAGTGCATTCATTAAGGTATGTATTTAACATATGCTACATAGAGAGGTTTTTTAACATTAACTTTTGCATTTCCTGACTCTTGTGACCTTTTCAACCTCAATATTGCATTAACATGGTTTGTTTGTTTGATCTTAAGGAACGAAAAGTATGCTGATAAGCATTTGACTTTTCACAGTTAAACGCAGCATATAGGCTATGCAATGTAATCATCACACATTTAAAAAAAAAAGTAAAGGCACCAGAACATTAAATCATCCATACTAATGACTGCACTAAAGAATGCCTTGATAAAGCAACAGAGCAGACAAGCAGGAAAATACAAATTGTGACATAAATAAAGCAGATTTGTTTTTCCTTTTGGACCTCATCTTGTGGTTGACTCAACCACCATCTTTGACAGACTGAAGTAACTGGAATTCAGTAGGGCTTCCTAAAAGTCCTGTGGAAACTCTGCATGATACATTTTTAATGATATAAGAGCAGTTGTGACATCAGCAAAGACAACATTTTCTTGTCTGCACAGATGAACAATTTAAAATATTGGGTGCATGGAGCTGAGAGACGAGACTAGAGATAGCTGAAAGGAAACTGCAAGTCCAAGAAGTAGCAATTGATTAGAAAAAAAGCCCCAATTGAGCCACTTATCTCCCTTCCTAAGTGCTCTCTGTTGCTGCTGCTAACACCTCCAACTTCCCAGCCCTGTCCCCCAGGCTCACAATCTTGATGTCATTTTCTTGCTCTCCTTCACCGCACACATCAAGGTTGGCAACAAATCTTGCCACTGTTTTCTCCAGGATGTCTTTCTTTCCACTCCTGATGGCTAAAACACATCTCCATGCTCTGATCATTCACTGCCTTGTCTAATGTCCTCCTCACTCACCTGCCAGGCACCCATATTGCTCCCCTTCATTCCATCCTAAACACAGCAGCCAAAACTATCTTCCTTGCCCATCAGATCATGTCACTTCTCTCTCTGAATTATTCTATTGGCTCCCCCTTGCCCACCATATCCAGTTCAAACTTCCCATACAACCTCCTCTCCAGCCTTCATCTTTACTGAATACTGTCTTGTTGCATACCTCCTATCCTCTTCCTTCCACCAGTGTTGCCAATCTCTACTCCTCTTTCATTAACGTCTTCCTCTCCCTTCTATCATCTTCACACCATCTTCCATGCTGCCTCCTTCTGACCCTAAGAGCCTCTTTATGCCACCCACCATGCTGTTGTCAGAATATGTAGCCAAACGATATCTTGTAAGATATATGTAAAAACTCTTGACACGGTGGTCGTTAATATTATTGCATAATGTATGTATGGTTAGTGTATAAATAATTATGTCTGTGCTGGAAATATATTCCTAAAATATGTTCAGATCAAGCAATCTGAGTAGAGCAAATAAACAAGTTTTTTGTAGACAAAGGAATGTTGTTTTGCCAGTTTGCCTGGGTCTCCGATGTAAATTGAGCCAGGTGAGGACAGAGTACATTTACATGTATGGTAAACAAACTGATTAAGCCAGTCAAAAAAAACAAATTGATTAGAGGATGAGGAAGACAGGATGGCATCTACACAGCAGCAGAGGACAGGAACTGTGTCTGGGTTTAATTTTCAAAGAATACATTTCAAAGGCTTACTGGACTAGAAAAAGAAGGGGAGAGAACCCCTTTTTTTATCCAGCTCTTAGGGAACAAAGGGGACAACAAGCTCTGATTCTGTGAACATTGGCGCTCCTGCCAGGAAGGACTGGAGATGTTGTAAGTGAGAGAGCTGTTTAGGCAAAGGCTTCACTAGCTAGAATTAATTTTTAGGTACTAGAAAGCATGTTTTATTTTGTTTGTTTGTAACCATTTTCTATTATCTCTGCTTAGTATCACTTAACTATCTGTTCTTTGTTCATAAACTTATTCCTAGTTTTACTGTAAACCATCTCAGTGCTGTTCTATTGAAGTATAGAGCGAGTCCTCAGCTAACCTAACAAGCTGGTGTGCGTACTGTCTCTTTCGAGATAGCACACTTAACAATTTCTGAGAGTATCCAGTCAGAGGGACTGGACTACAGAGAGATGTCTCTGGAGAACTCAGGAACAGGGGTTCACTGATTTGTTACCTGCAAGAGAAGGTTAAGACTGGCAGAATCTCAAGGAATTTGCTGGCGAAGCGGACAGACTGGGTGTCAGGAAGCTCACACGTAGTCTCATCTCAAAAGCTCTCCCTTGCTAAGACAGAGGGTAACAGTGGCTTATGGTTCTGTGCTGCCCTGAGAAGAGCACCACACTCCTATGTTGGAGGGCCCTCCCAGTCTCAGTCTGCCAGGTCATCCCAACTTCTCATTCATATCTTCCACATATGATTCGCTTCCTCCACAAGGCTTATAAACAAGGAAATGGGTGGAAACCCCTTCCTCTAGTTCTCTCAGTGCATCTTTTCTGTCCATTAGATTCTCAGCTCTTTGAGGCATAGACTGTGAATATTTGCACCATGTACATTTTTAGTGCTCAGTGAGTAGTTATAATTATCAACTCCATTGATCCAAAGTATCACTTGAGGCATGTGGAAAATTTACCAAATCAAGCTAAGGCAAAAGATAGTCACATCTGTGGGATTTCCATTTTCCATTGTGCTTAGTTTCCCCAAGTTGCTTAGTTTAGACATTGAGAGATCCTCTAAGCCTGAAAGTTGTTATGGGATTCTAGAAACACGCAGTTTGGGAATAAATTGAGAACCCAGACTTGGGAGTGTTCCTTGTCCATTTCTCAGACTCCAGCATGAAATAAAATTCTAAAAGCTGCAAGACTAAGTGGGGAGGAAAATAAGAGAGAAAGAAATCACTTTTGAAAGATATATTACTCCTGCCATTGACCCAGTCATGTAAATCCAACAGAAACAGATGACAGATTTTTTTTAAATCTAAAAGATTGAACAGAAATGGCTGTCTTGCAAACAGATGAACTGTAGGTAACATACCAGTATGTTTTGCCTCAGCAGCCAAATTGCAAAAACAACCTCATTTCCTCAAGAAGTACAACTTGATTTAGACACTCTATTGCTCTATTGTATAGGTATAATATTGTTTTCCTTAATTCCAGTTGAATGTAGCTGACTTAGAAATTGAAAGGTAGCAAATTTAAAATTGAAAAAAGAAACTTTAAGCCAGTGCATAATTACCCAATGGATTTCATTGCCAAAATACAGTGGAGGCTGAGAGCTTAGCAGGGTTCTTTAGTCTTATTTCCTGACCCTGTAGGGCTGTTGTATCATCGGGCATCTGGAACCCTCTCCTTTCCAATCAGATACAGTATTTAGCCTTAATCCTGAAACGTTCGAGATCATGAACTTTAATGTCATGGCATTTTTATGTATAGAAAAGATCTGTTCAAGGTCATTTTGGAGATACTTTACACACAAAGGATGGTCTTGTGATTCAAACACTAGAGTAGGACTCAGGAAATTTGGGTTCAAACTCTGTTTCTGCTACAGTATTCCTATGTAACCTTGGACAAGACACTTAAATTTTTCTGTGCCTTAGGTCGCCATCTGTAAAATGGGGATAATACCTGATTTCTCCCACTCTTTGTATTAGACTGTAAGTTCTTTAAGACAAGAACTCATTTCTTAGCTTGTGTATGTACAATGTCCAGCACAATGAGGCTTGAACTCTGAAGATTTTGGGTGCTTTCATAATATAAATAATGCTAGCTTTATTATTTCTCTCCCTCTGATCCCTATACCTTTGGACTTATGGTAAGTAGATGCTTAATGTTATTGGTGGAGGGATACAAGTTGTAATCCCCACAAAATGTTCAAAAAATCCTTCCAATAGTTTTTTAGTAACATGGAATATTCAAATATACAACAATGGTGTGATTTGGGATGACTTATCTAAATCCTTGGTAAGTAATGTGACTATTCCAAACTCTTGCTGATATAACTTTCATATTACCATTGGAACCACCAAGAAGGGTGCATGGCAAATCTAAAGAACTTCATAACTTTATTGTTGTATTCCCCTTCTTTCCTAATTGTAACTGTCACTTGTTGCATCAGATACCATTTTCAAATGAGCCTAAATCCCACAGGTTTTTCTATGGAACTTAGGCTCCTAAGTCACTGGGTACTTTTGAAATTTGTACCCATTGTGTCAACTGTTATACCCTGATCCCAAATCATTTACATTTGATGCCTGTTTTGTCTGTAAAGTGCCTGGCACATTGAGCACTCAGTAAATGAATAATACAGTAAGGAATGGTTTTAAAAATAGAAAACATATAAAGTGGTAGTGAAAGAAATGAAGTTTAGAGAAGCAGTGATTATTACCTCTTCTCTAGATTCAGCTGCAGCACTTAGCTGTATGTATCTTTTGTATGTATCTTTTGTTTTCCGCCCCCAATTCTCTCCTTTTGATTTGATTTTAGACTTGTTCATTGTGCTTGGTAAATTAAACTTGACAAAACTGTTGCATTTTAACATTCCCTTCCTGAAATTCACAGAGGCCTGTAAATGTTTTGACCCAACAAATGTCATCTTATTCCAGAGCTAAGAGCAGAGGTTGAAATTATTGAACAGATGAGTAGCAGCAGTGGTAGCAGCTCATCGGACTCTGAGAGCTCTTCTGGGAGTGATGATGAAAGCTCTAGCAGTGACGGGGAAGAGGCTGCACGCATTTCCCCCTCTCAGCCACCACACCAGCAGTACAACAACAGAAATGCTGTTGCTAATGGTACCAGCAGGCCACAAGGAAGCAATCAGCTAATGAACACTCTCAGTAAGTAAAGTTTTGTGTGTTGTTGCTGTGGGAACCTGTGTGATGCCACCAAAAGGCATAGTTTTTCTAAGCAGGTTTAGATACCGCTGTAGAATATAGTTTACCAAATAGTTATCTCAAGCAGTTGCATGCATGCAGGTTGAAATATGTGAAAGGGAGCCCTTATAACAAAAAGCTCTCATTTATTTGAAGGTATAGAGCAAGGGTGGGCAAACTATGGCCCATGGGCCAGATCCGGCCCGTCAGGGCTTTGGATCTGGCCCGCGGGATTGCCATCCCTGTGGCACCACGGGCCCCACGCCACTCCCGGAAGCGGCCAGAACCATGTTCCTCTGGCCTGGGGGAGGGGGGTGGAGCAGAGGTCTCCGCGTGCTGCCCTCACCTGCAGGCACCACTCCCTGCAGCTCCTGTGGCTGGGAACGGGAAACCACGGCCAATGGGAGCTTCGGGGGAGGTACCCACAGGCGAGGGCAGCGCACGGAGCCCTCTGCCCCCCC